CATTTTATCTGCAAGGGTGTGATGGTTTTGTACCTTCGTATATATGGAAACTATATTGCTGTGCTCTTTCCTCTATGCTCATTTGATGCATGAGATGAGGTATTCATTAAATAAAGAGGGAATGCACTTCTGTCAGTAGAGTGGAATTACAGGCTGTCAGTTTTCTTGAGTGCTGTTTCATCTGTTCGATGGGATTCCACAGTGCAGGCTTTTACAGACATTATCTGCAAAAAGAAATACTGCTCCTCACTTTTGAGAAAAGAAGCCATGAATTCATGGACCGTGACTGCAACAATAATGAGCCATAACAGCTCTCCCTTTCACACTGGCAACAGTGTAACAGATTTCATAAGCAGATATGTTATTGTAACTGTAGATACCCTCAGAAAAAGTCTATCATTAAATAGATGGTGTTCTACAGACAGCAAATCACATTACAGAATTATTTGCCTTGAATATTGAAATCCCAGTGCTCCAGGAAATTTGAGTTCAGCTTCATTACGAGGTGTTGTACTATGCGAACATTTGTACACATACACAATTTCTGGTTTCATACACAACATAAGACAAAAATGACCTCTAGGTAGAATTATCTCAGGAGGGTAGAAAGCTAACATTTCTCTCAGTTTCTTCAGCTTATTTGGCTCCTAGACCTACTGACCAGAGAGAATGAATAACAGTAGGAAACAAAGGTCAGTTAACGGTACACAAATCTGAAGTTATATTACCTCAAAGCCCAGACATTTGCTGCCTTGAATGTTGTTGTCAAATTGCTCCAGAGGTAAATAAATTCTGTCTATAGATATGAAAAAAAAGTTATTTTTTAAGATAATCTTAACCCTACCAATGCAGCACATTCTTAGTTTGGTACATTTCACACAACTTTTTTCTTTAGACCAAGGTTTATTATTATATGATGCATCATGTTGAATTTGGTTAATCTTTGGCTAGGTGGTTTTCCTCTTGGTCTTTTTTCATCCATTGTGACATTGAAGAGCTCTTAAAAATCAGGGGGTTTTTGCAACCTTTGTTTCCAGGAAGAGATTCCACTCCATTTGGCAAGTTAATACTCTGTGTGTCAGTCTTAACCACAAAGTTCTACCTTCAACAGAATTACACTTGCAATAGTGGAATTGGTTAGTGCTGCATTAGAAAACAGTAAGCCTATAGCCTCTTCTGTCTCCAATTTTTATACAACACAAATTAATGTTGAGACTCCATCTTAAAAATATTTTTCTAAAGTTTGCTTTGTTTCTGTTTAAAACAATCCTTATATCATTACAATCATCCCTGCAAAAGTAGAAAATTAATTTCCTAGACATTTCAGTCTGGAACACAAAATCCTTTCACATGTCTTCATAGCATCTCCTTAGTAACCTCTCTGGTGTTTCACAGGGTCAAACTGTCTTCTTCCTAAGACTTCAAATTAATTGTGTAATAAATGTTAATCTTGTATCATATGGCTGGACTCAGACTGCATCAAATGTCTTAGAATGCATGCTCATTTGATATGTTGCATGTGAGGACTACCAGTATTCTTTTGAAGTAAAAGCTTAGCACATGTCTCCAGGCACAAAGCATTGCAAAATAGTATAGCAGTAGCTATTCTGCATGAGCTCCTTCACATAAACACATTTATTCTGTGTTATGAGAGCTATTTTTCTGCTTTTCTTAATCTGCATCAGTCTTAGCTTGACATAAGAGGGTTTACACAGAAAGCTGTTATGGAATATGTGTTATTTCCTCTGTGCATGTAAGCAGTTTGTGGGGAAATTCAGAAGGCTGGATTTTAGCAATTGATTGAATGATTGATTACCATTATGAAATACCAGTATTATGGGTTACAGTGCCTGAATTTTATGGCAAGAAGAATGCTATTAGAATTCTCTCAAAAAATTTTTAAAAATTCCAATATTACCAATGGAATAAAAATAAAGAATGGGAAATTTTTTTCTAAAGGGTTAAGTGGCTGAGACTGTCTGAAATAAGGACTATTTTGAGAATTAATTTTTATTAGAGAATAATTACTTGAAACTAATTTCAAAACCACTGGCAATGAAAAGTTGTAGTTTCCAAATGTACAGCTTGGAGTCTATGGCATTCGAAGGGTGGGACCTCTTACTAGCAGTGCAGATCTCAGTCTCTTTTTTGGCTGCTTGTTGGGACGGATTTGCACCAGTTTCCTGTTTCTTCTGTAAGTACACTGAGACTATGGAGGGATGGGGTGAGTATTCTGTTATGAATCTCCTGTTTGTTCTGTCTGTATGTGTCAGAAACCAGATTCTAATCCAAGTTCCTGTTGGCATCTGTTTATAACATAATGAAAAGCAACAGGAGAGATAAAAGACCAAGCACCAAATGCACTCCAATGTGATGGTAAGGACACTTTGGAGAAAAAAATTTGGGTTAATCACCTTGGGAAGAAGCAAGAATCAAAGCCTGTTTCATACATTCACAGCTACTACTCTAAAAAACCTGGATTTTGAAACATTTCGCAGCAGTACATATTGTAGCCATTTCTTTTGTTTCCTTGTATGCCAGTATGTGTCATTTCAGCCTTAATGGGGAATTCTGGGAGGGAAATGGAAGAGGTCAAGAAAACAGAAGAAAAAACATTTTATAGGCTTTTTGTGGACACTTAAGTAGAAAATTGCAAGGTCTGTGAAGAGAGAAATATCTTAAAGATACAGGTGTTTGGGCATGTAATTGTTGTGTTTGTTTGTTTTCAATATTACACATTGTGTTAATAGTGGATTATGGCTAGTGCATGACATCTGAAGTCTGGATAACAGAGAAATCAAATATTTCTCAGCATTTATAAGGCTTCTCTCTTCAGAGTACTTCTGTGATCTTAAATTATATAGATGAAGTGTGTCAAATTTAGTTCTGCTGCATTTTGCTGATTAAGTGGGATGAACCAGGCTGTGTTTTGGAGGGTAGCATTCATGCCTTGGGTATTATGTTTAACATTGATTCTGATTTCCTTTCTATACAAGAAAATTCTTCCTTGGGGAAAACAGGTAGCAGAAAACAAAAAAGGCATAGCATGCAGGTATATAAAAGCAATACAGAAATAAACATTTTCTCTCTCTGTTTTTTTTTTTTTTCCTGTAATGCTTTCAACCTGAAGGTTTTTTCCTTGTGTCAGTGTAATTATTTTGATTTCTGCTTCCTTACATAATTTGGAGGACTAGAGATAGGTTCCTCCTCAGGTTTCATACAGATTTCATGTATAGAAGCTGAAGGAGACACCTTGTCTTGCAGAATACCTTCTCATCTTGATAATGTCTCATAAATTATTCTAACCTGTCTTGGAGGATGATAATGTAAAGCACTTAGACATCTCCACTAGAGGTCTTCTGAAGAGGCTCCCATTCATACTTCAGTTTGTAGGCTTTTTTCTGTCCTTTCCACTGCAGAAGTAGACATTCTTACCAGGATTGAATTCTAGTTACATTCTTGGAAAGGAAACTTACATTCTTCTTACTTATGGATCCATGCCATGCTTCTCTACCTGCTCTTTCCTATTCTGTCTCTCAATCTTCTTTCTTTCCCTTGTTTCCCATCTTTAATGTTTTTCTTCTTTAACACACTTGATTTCCAGATAATATTGGACAGATATAATCCTTGCGTCAAAATTTCTGAATAGTAATTTTTGAAGCTCTAATCAAACAAACTTGACAGATGTGAGACAGAAGTCTTAAAGAAAAATCAAGTTTCTACAACCTTACTACTAAGGCACAGTTAGGTGAATGAGGCCCACATTAGCTCTTCCCTGATTTGTTGGACTTCAGCTTTCATCTGTTTTATCTCTGCATGCATCCCAGAAAGATCTCTCCTGCCCATACAGTGGGAGCAATTAACATCAGTTTTTAATGGTCTGTATCAAAATCCTTTTGTTTTGACATATTCCTATACTGGAGGGAAATGAGTGGAGATTCACCCTGATCAGAAAAATCTCATGTAAATCTTGTGCCTGCTTTTTCATAGTGGCATATCTTTATGTACCTACCTTACTGACTTCATCTTGTTTAGGTGCTGCAAACTCTCAAGAGGTGCTCAGCTTTTGTAGTCTCGCAAAAACTCCTGTGATAACTACAATAGTAGTTGAAATACTGATTTTGTCTCCTTCAATAATAGTGTCACATAGTAATAGAACAAAGTTAGCTAGGGACACTTCTTAGCACCTTGGACTAGACAGTCAGTGTTGGGGAGGTGAGACAAAGAGCCATACAGCATATTATCTGGGATGCCCCCTTAGGAATCAGTATTGTTCCTTGTCCTCAATGCTTCTGAACAGTTGTTACGGCTGAGATTGCAATGTTTCAACTGAGTTCTGTACTGCAGCAGAAGCAACAGAAGCTAGTTTTCATGTCAAGTGAGGTGCTTATGCGCTGACTGAAAGTAAGATTATAAAAATCAGAGAATTACTGGCTTTCACTTTCATGCTTTAGACCAGTTTTAAACAGCATGTATTCTTCTGTTAGTATAATACATAAAATAACTATATACATACATATGTAGTGCACATTTTACATATATACATATGTATCTAAATTATTAATTTTAACCCGAGATCTCCTGTGATATATTTTGGGGCTAAGTTTAAGACACAGTAGATATTCAAAGCAGTTTCTTCGGAGTTTGCACCCAACCTCTCCCTACTTCCATGCGTACTTCGTCCTGTTCCCTCTTTACACGTGGAATTGGGAACTTCTGAGATCTGTTCAGCATTCAGCCAAATGGCGTAGAAGTGCAGCAGGTACCACGTTCCTGACCCCGGGGTCTGATTTCGCGCCCGCACTTTTCTTCCGTGGGAAGGCGGGAGCCTCGCACTCGTTGCCGGGCGCTATCCCAGGGGGCTGGGCCGGGCCCGGGGCGCCCCTTTGCTCCTCGCCTGTCCCATTCGCTGGAGCTTTCTGTCTCTTCTCGGGTGGGCGGCGTAGGCTCCCCGTTTCCCATCGGCCAGGATTGAGGTACTCGCGTTCTGTCGCCCGCAGGCTCCTGGCAGTGTGGGACGCACCGGGGAAAGGCGGACGGCGGCGCCGGCGGCCCCGAGGCGGCCCGGGCGGGCGGAGCCGTGCCCGGCGCTAGGACCCAGCAGGACGCGAGGCGGCTCTTCGGGCCGGATCACAAATTCGTCGTGACTCAGTCTCTGCTCAGCGCGGAGGCAGCGGGAACAGGTCAGTGTCCTGCGTCTATCCAGCGGCTGCTGGGGTGCGTAGGGGCACAAGAGCCGGAGCGGGCACTGCCGCGCCCCTTCCCTGGCTCGGCCTTCCTTCATCTCCGCCCGCCCCCGCCCGGGCCCTGCCGCGCCGCCAACCGCGGTCGCCTGTTGTCTGCTGTTTTCCAGACAGCCAAGATGGAGTACGAGTGGAAGCCCGACGAGCAGGGGCTCCAGCAGATCCTGCAACTGCTCAAGGAGTCCCAGTCCCCGGACACCACCACGCAGAGAGCCGTGCAACAAGTATCCTTGGCCGAGGCTGGCGGGGTCCCGAGAGTGGGCCGGGGGCGGCCGTGGGCAGGCGGGGGGAGCGTGGCCTGCGCGGCAGCGGGGCCGACGCTGCGGTAGCCGGGCCTGCCCGGCTCGGCCCGGCCGGGGAGCCGCCGCAACGCGGGGGGCCGAGCCCTGGCCGGAGCGGGCCGCCGTGGCGCGGCGTTTGAACCGCCGAGGCGGCCTGTGGGCCGCGGGTCCGCCTTCACCCGGCGGGCACTGGGCACCTGTTGCTAACCCAGAGACAAGGGCCTCTTTGGGTTTGACCGTAGGGGGCCTTTTTTAAAATTAATTAATTAATTTATTTTCAAAGCCTGTGCTCTGGCGCGTCTCCGCCGATATCCGCCGCTCTTTCGGGCTCCCCCGCCCAGCCCCCAGGGCGGCCCGGCGGGAACGGGGCCCTCGGCCCAGCGGGTCCCGCCGAGAGGGCCGGGATTGCCCCGCGGGGTGTGCCCGCTGTCTCCGCGGCAGAGAGGGGGCGAGCTGGGGCCTCTCGAGGTAATCTGGCGCCGGGATTCGAGGTGAAAGCCGTCGCTGATGGGGGTAGTGCCGCTGGCGGAGCCGCTGCCTGCGCGCCCTCGTGGGCCTGCTGCTTCTGACACTGCGCATTTTGGTGCGTGGTGAGGATGTTTTTATTTGTCTGGGAGCTTGATCCTGAAACTCGGCTCGTTCAAATTCACGAAAATGGGAAGCTCTACAGTGTGTAGCTTCTTGTACTGGTTTGATTTGGTGTTGGTATTGTGGATTGATGGTTTTTTCACCCCCATCCCTCCTCTTCCCCTTCCCCCCGCGCCCCCCCTCCCC